GAAGCAGACATTATAGATGTTCACTAGTATCCCAGAAGTTCTCTCTTTCAAATTATGTGAGAAATTACACTTCTGTAGTGTAGGTGACTTATTTTGGCCAATAAAATCTGAGAAGTCCTGCTATTTCTGGGCAGAAGCTTTAAGGCCTACTGGAAGATACACTTCCTTCTATAGTGCCCATTAAGATGTCGACTGTCAGGGTGAACATTTCTGTATGCTGGTCATCTCCCAGTCTCTATCCCTATCAAAACATATGTACTGAGAGTACAATGAGGAATTTGGATGTTATGTTGTTATCATTTTTATGTTGTAATACAGCTTCTACCAGTTATTTTGGACCATATTTGTTCATAATTGAGAATCACAGAAGCATATTGAAAGCCAGAGGTGCTTTTTCTTGCTCTCCTTACTTCCTCCCTAGCTTTGTGGTAGCTTTGTATAGCTATAACCTCACAACCATTGTAGTTGTAAATATTAGCAGCTGAGTAGGTAATGGAGGAGGCAAATGGGTTGTGTTTGGTATTCTCCTAAAGTGCTTTCCTTTGACAACTGTCAGTTCCTGACATGTCTGACAGGTTGCAGGAATGTACCATTCTCAGAATGTTATTTGAATGGACCAGACAACCTACTTACTAGACACTTGCTGAAAATAACCAATGATAATTATTTGACATTTCAGCTACTTGAGGTTGTATCACCAAGTTAACAAGGGGCTGACAACAAAGTTAAGAAGAAAAGTGGATGAGGACTTTGAAAATCTTGAACATATTCAGAGGTCTAGAAGGCACTTTTAGGAAAACTTTGAGAGAGCCTAAGCAACTATCATTTCTAGTTGAACCTGAGGCTTTGAAGAAAAAACTAGGAATATGTATACATTGCCTGAAGAAAAATTGGATGTGTCCCAACACACACACACACACACACACACACACACACACACACACACAAACCCCTTAAGATTAGGGAGTATATTGGTTGTTTAGCAAATAGCTGGCCAATAAGCTAACTACTAATACTTAATACAAACATCAAGCAGTACATTCAAAAAGTTTGAAAAAAGTCCCAAAAGTTTGAAAGAAACCCTAATAGACTTAAAGCAACACATAGCAGTATACCCATAGATAAGCACAAATCAACTTATTTAGGGCTGAGTACTCATCTTCATTCAGTCATGAGCCTCAGCATTCACCACTATTCACTGGAGGCACAGGCTTCTGTTAAGGCCAAGAACATTGGAGAAGAGGAGGTAAATGTAAAAGGCAGTTTAAATGTAAAAGGCAGTTATACGCTATGACTTAAAAGAGACAGGCTTATGTAATTAAAGTTTGGAATATGATACTTCTAAGATTGAGGAAACACTGTGGAGAAGGGGCCAGAAAGAATAAAAAACTCAATTAGTAGCTTGTAATGGATAAAGATCCAAATGATGTAACAATAGTATGAAGGAAGGTGGAGGTAATGGATCTAAATTGATTTATAGTTCACATAAAAACTATAAAGGAAACGACTGATCTTATTCAGCAAATGAAATAAGTCAATTAAGATGCACTAGAGGAAAATGTGTATTTGACATGAAAGAAGGCAGTGATGAGATAAAGGAAAATAAAAACCAATAATATACACAACAGCTTTCTCATCAAAAGACCATAAATAAATCTTTTTTAAAAATTTTTATTTTTTATCTAATTTATACATGGGTGCTTTATTTGCATGTAAGCTTGCATGACAGAAAATAACATCAGATCTCATTATAGATGGTTGTGGGCCACTATGTAGTTGAATTCATAAATGTCTGGAAGAGCAGCCAGTGCTCTTAACCACTGAGCCATTGTTCCAGCCCCATAAGTCTTATTAGGAATTACACTAAATGTGAATGGATTATATTTTCTACTTAAAAGGCAAAGATTGAGCCAGGGATGGTAACGCATATATGGAATCCTGGCACTTGGCAGGTGGCATTAGAAGGATTGTGTATTCAAGGCCAGCCTCAGTTACAAAGATAGTTTGAAGCCAGCATAGGTTACATGAAACCCTATTTCAACCCCTTCCCATATCACCAATATAAAAGAAGAAAATATTGCCATATGTATATATTGTTTATGATAGACCCACTTCAGGTTCAAAGACACAAAAATCATTGAAAGCAAAGGATTAAAAAAGTCCTTAAAAGAAGGACAGAAATTTATATTATCAAATAAAATAGAATGTAATTCAATCATTGTTATTATGGACAGAAAAGGGTATTTTATAATTACAGGTCAATCTGAGTCCATTGTGGAGACTTTAAGAGTAACAATGCTTTCCATGAAAGTCCAGTGACCTGAATTTGATCCTGGAAACCATAGAGAAACTCCAGACAGTTGACCCTCTGTGGATTGCACATGTCTTCTGTCTGTCTCTCATGTATGTATACACAAATCCTACTACTACTACTAATAATAAAATTTTTTAATAAGACAATCAATTGAAACTCATAACTGTTATCAACATCATACACCTAATGATATGTAAACAATACCTAAAACACATAGAAAAAAACCTGACACACTAAAGGGAAAAACAGACAATATAATAATAATAGTTAAAGCATTCATAACATACTTTCAATAATGGGCAGAACAGCCAGAGTTGAGATCAATAAAGAAATAGAAGACTTGAGCAACAATGTAAATCAAACTGAACCAATGCACATTAATCGAATGCTGTGCTCAGCAATAGCAGAATACACATTTGTGTCAAGGATACATGGAGCTGTCTGTATAATAGACTGTGTGTTAGGCTGTAAAACAAGCCCATGAATGTAAAAGGATTGAAACCATAGAAAGTACATTCCCTGATCATAAATCACAATGTAATGGAACTAGAAATCATTTACAGGAGAAAAAATTTGAAGCTTAGAGATGCACGGAAATTAAACAATATACTCTTAAATAATTAATAGGCCACAGGAAAAAAAATCACAAGAAAGGCTAGAAAATACTTTGAAATGAATGAAAACTACAAGGGATACTTCAAGACTTAGAGGAGGCAGGTGTTCAGTGCTTACCAGGAAATTCATAGCTTTAGCATTTAGCTTAAGAGCAGGGAACAACTTCAAAACAGTATCTTTTCACTTCTCCTTAAGAAGTTAGGAAAGGAAGACAAACAAAGGAAACAATATTAGTAGTTTTTTTTAAAAATAGACTTTCTGATTCAGCTTCAGTAACTTGTGAATACACCAGAAACCATGAATTTTACATGAAGATGATGAAGCCTAACTGCATGAAGATTACTTTCTAACAAAACCCATCTAACTATCAAGACTTTCTTTTATTTCTGAGGTGCTCTAAAGAACAAATGTTAATGTACAACTTCATGCCTGTTCCTTCGATATCTGTAATATGGGATATTTAATCCCACATTTAGTGAGAGGAGTAGGGACATGACATTCACAGAATGACAATGTCAGTGGAATTATCTATGTGCCTCACATTCATGTATTACTTTAAAATACCTCAAGAGATTATTTTTTTGCTTGTGTTATTTTTTGTGTCTGTAAGATTACTTATTTAAATTTTATATTTTTCCTTTTATTTTTCTATGATACACACACACACAACTTTTTATTGGTTCTTTGTGAATTTCACATCATGCCCCCAGTCCAACTCATCTCCCCGTCTCCTTGTACGGCCCCTCCATCTTTGCAATACCCACCCCAACAGAGAAAAATAATCTCACAGAAGCCGTAGTATGTCACAGTGTGTCCCACAGTAAAGTGATTTGTCCACACTTCTTGCTTGCAAAGGTTCATTGCAATGATTGTTGGTCTGGTATGAGGCCTCTGGCTGCTCTATCAATGCTGGAACCTCACTGGAACTCCTCTAGAATATCCTACTGTTGCCTGGTGTCATGGAAATCCTGTAGTTTTGGATTTGTAGGACAGTCCCCTTTATGCACTCCAGCAGTTCATCAAGTGGGCAGATGTTGGGGTGGGCCAATTCAAAGCCCTGGGTTTGTGCCTGAGAGATATTTGAGCTGGCCAACCTGCTGGCTCTCCTGCTGTCATGGCCCTCAGGGCTGGCTCGCCACCAACCCCTGCAACTAGGGCCAGCTCTATCCTGTTGCCCAGGTGAGGTGCAGGGCCTGCTCACCCACGGGCTACAGCAGCTGAGGGGCAGGGATAGCTCTCCTGCTCTGGTGACCTTGGGGGTCAGCTCTTCTGCCTGCCATAGGTGGCAAGGGATAAGAGGGGGGCATTTCTCCCTCGCCCATGTCACTGCATGGCAGACAAGTGGCATGGGACCTTTCCCATGCCCAGGCCCTTGGGGCTGGCTCACCAGTGACCCCCACCACTAGAGTCAGCTCTATTGTGCTGTTCAGGTGAAGTGCAGGGCCCACTCTCCTGAGTGCTGCAGCTGGTGAGGGGGAGGGCCAGCTCTTCTGCTCTTATTACCTCAGAGACATGTTTTCCACCTGCTGTAGGTGGTGAGGGGGAAGCAGGAAAGAGGGTAGGTCTCCCTTGTCCACACCAGCACATGGGAGACAGTAGTAGGGCTAGCTCATTCAAGCTTGTATCCTTGGGGCAGCTCGCCCACAATTCCTGCAATGTTCTGGACTCCGCTCCCACGAGGAGTCAGCTCTTCTGCTCTCCTATCCCCCGGGTCAGCTCTTCCACCATGTATCCACCTTGAGTATCCAGTTCTGCCTCTCTCACTGTGCCCACATCCTTCTGCTTCTCTTTCTCTTCTGTTTCTTCTCCACTACTTACTTGCTCCCTTTAGTGGTACACAGGGTCTCTGAGTGTCTGGGGTTTTCTCAGGAGTTGTCTCAGGGGTGCTATGCACCAGGAAGCAGGGGTCATCTTGGGCATGGTCTGCTCCCCATTTCAGGCTCTCTGCCCAGCCACTAAGGCATGGGTCTGGAGATCATCTTGGGCTTGCTTCTTATTCCCTGTCCTGGGTGCCCATCCGGGCCTATATGACGCTGTCCTGGTGGGTGTCTCAGGCTTGCTTTTTTCAGGAAGTGTTAGGCTACTAAGAATTCAGATGTTCGTAGGTCAAAACACTGAGCACAGACATGGCCTCTCTCCTCTCTGCCACCTTCTGACGCACAAGTGACACAGCAGCCATACCTGCAATACCTCTTGGGGCAGAGTTTATATTTTTCTCTAACATACACCACCAAAACCCAGAATATTTTCCAAAATGGCTTATAGTTTTCACATATTAGTTTATATGCCAACTTTTGAGATACATAGATCCTACAAAAAAGAAACATCTCCATGATAATTTTGTGTTTTTTTTTTTTTTTACTAAAGGCTCATTCCTATGTTTATGGAAATATGTACAAGGTGTTTTGCCATGGAGGGAGAGTGTTCTGGATCTCTGGATCTCTAAGATTCTGTTTCCATCCTTAGGTCAGTCATACCATATTAGAACACAGGGCTTGCCTCCCCCAATCTTTCCTTTGTCTCTAGGTATAAATTGTTTCCCCGACTTCTTTGAAATATCATCATTGCAAGGCTCAGGGGAGCACGATTCATTTGTGCCTCCTCTCCCCTCATCACTGCTATGTGCAATTTATAGAGCATCTCTGACAGTCTTTGTACTTTGTGTAGCTGAGATTGCCATGTCAGTTCTTGGCTCTAAAAAGCTTCACATTCAGAATCCAAAGCTTTAGGCACTCTCAACACAATAAAGCCAGACATGATGGTGGTGGGTGGAGGTTTCAAGGGCTCGGAATCTGCTACAAGAAGACTCATGTCAGTTTTGTAATGGGTCATTTTTTTTGTACTCAACAGCCAGAATTACAAACAGGACCTTGGGTAACCTCACTTCCTTTTCCCATAGAACCATAATAACTTGTCAGGCACTAATTTACTGAAACCTTATCAGGGTGGCAGGTTATTTAATTCATGATAGCTAATGCCTGTTCCAAGTAGCACCACAGGTATTATTTTAAGTAGCACATACATTTCTTGTGTAAAGAGTTTATATTTAGTTTTTTTTTTTAAATTTACCATCAAGATGTTAGTGTACATTTAAATTTACCATCAAGCTTTTTACATATATTTAAATATGTAAACCTTTATAATTTCACTATGAGAATGACAAAAACTCAACTAAACAACAGGACAGGATCCTACCATAGAGAACCTCTAAAAGACTTTCCCAAAAGGATATCAAAGCAGATTCTGAGACTCATAGCCAAACTTTGTGGAGAGTGCAGGAAATCTTATGAAAGAAGGGGGAGATAGACCTGGAGGTTACAGGAGCTCCATATGGAGAACAACTGAACCAAAAAATCTGGGCCTAGGGGTCTTTTCTGAGACTGATACTCCAACCAAGAACCATGCATGGAGATAATCTAGAACCCCTGCTCAGATGTAGCCCATGGCAGTTCAGTGTCCAGGCTGACAGGGTGACTGGCCAGAGAGCCCCAGGACTCCTGTCTTTATCTTCCCAATGTTGGGATTGAAATCATGTGCCATTACATCCAGCTTTTTAAAAAAAAATATTACAATTTATTCATTTTGTATCCCAGCTGTAGTCCCCTCCCTTGTCTCCTCCCAATCCTGCCCTCCCTCTTTCTTGTCCTCCCTTGCCCTTCCTCAAGTGCACTGATAGGGGAGGTCCTCCTCTCTTTTCATCTGACCCTAGCCTATCAGGTCTCATCAGGACTGGCTTCTTTGTCTTCCTCTGTGGCCTGGTAAGGCTGTTTCCCCTATCCCCTGTCAGGGGGAGGTGATCAAAGACCCAGCCACTGAATTCATGTCAGAGATAGCTCCTGTTCCTCTTACTAGGGAACCCACTTGGACACTGAGCTGCCATGGGCTACATCTGTGCAGGGTTCTAGGTTATCTCCATGTGTGGTCCTTGGTCGACATCCTGCTTTTTTAATGGGGGTACTGAGTATCAAATGTGGGTCCTCATCTTTGTGTGGCAAGCGCTTTAGGGTAGTTCCACAGTTCCCATTGGTTTTATGTGGAATGTTTACTCTGGCCTATCACAATGACTAAGGATGTAATGTGCTAGATATAACATTAATACTGAAACTTCATCAAAGGAGACTAAAGAAGAGAGTATTTCACTGGGAAAATTGGTACTTTTTATATGGGTGTGATAGTGTTAATCATTTATTGGTAGAATAATATGGCTGATTTAAATTTATTAAACTCTCAGAATCTGCCAAGGAGCCATAATAACACACATTTACCTTCACGAAGTCAATATGGACTAAAGATGCCTCTTAGGACTGTTTAGAACCTTTAGCATCAACAGTCATGTTCTTCAACTCCAACCATAGGGTTACATTCTGAGAAACACAACATTCATGCTTATCTTCAGCAAACCAGATAGGTAAGTGTGACCCCTTTAAGCAGTTTGTTTTTTTAGGGGACAGTCTGGCTGCTTCCACTTTATGCAGTTGTAGATGTCACTGGCACGTCTGTGGCATGTCAGGTGCATCCGGCACGCAGCAGCATTTGGGACCTTGCTTTTGGTGGAGTCCAACAATGCCAGTCAGGATTGTGAGGAGAGCCCACCACATCCTCTACTTTCAGTGGGTGACAGCACAGTGCAAGCTTGGTGACAGGACATGACATTTCTTCTAATAAGTTCCTCTACTTTTGGATGGCTTACTGTGAATTAAATGAGCTCTCCTTTGCTCTTCCTTCAGGCCAATTTCCTTGCAAGGTAAGGCATTTCTTTCTCACCTTCAGGCGTCATTTCGGGGCACTGACAGTGCTCCAGGGAGGAACCTGGCTTCTCTCCTTTGTGTAGCCGTCTCTCAGCTCCCAATTCCCCATCCACCGGTTAAATCCCAACTCCAGGTTAACAGGGCCTATTAATTTGTAGACAAAAATAACAGTTAAGGAGCAGGAAGGGAGCGTGCCCTAAAGGGAATAGCGATTGCTGTGCTGGAGCCACACCAGAACCACCTGGCTCAATTTAAGACAGTTTCTCCCAGCACAGGAAGAATTTTCTGCAAACGTTTGTGTTTGCAAAGCTTGTTTACCTCAGCTGGAAATCGCAGCAGATCACAATTTGAAGAGTGTTTACTTTTTCCTCTCTCTCTAAATCATACTCAGTGGTAATTATTGGGATCCAGATTTTGTTGTTTGAAAATGATGGGAAGGAAATTTGGATTGCATTTGGGCTCTTAAGCCTTGATGAAAGGAAGTGTGTGGTGAGATGACCTGAGAGAAGATAAAAGACCTGTCCTGGCCATGTTGGGCTCCCTGCAAGGCAAGTCTTCTCCACTTGCTTGGGAGGGGCCATGTGAAGCCATGGTCTCAAGCTGATGACAATGTCTTATCAAGAGGAGTCTTGAGGTTGCATCGTTCAGATTATCAGTGAGTGTCCCTGCTTCTGTGATTCCACAGTGGTCAGTAGTTGATTCCGGAAGCCTCTGTAATAAAGGCTTGGAGTACAAAAGTTTCCACTCAGGCCTGCAGAGATGGTTCACGTGTAAAGCACTTGTCATACAAGTATATGGAGCTAAATTCAGATACCCCAGGATATTATGAAAACACTTGAACACACACGTACATACATGCCTATATGCATGTACATACATGCACACGTCTGCATTTACACTATAGACAGACACAGATGTACACACACATACATGGTGATAAAATTTCTTTTCATGGTCCCAGCCTTGCTGTTGACAAGAATTCTAATGTTCCAGGACACATTCCTTAGCATTTGGGGTAGTCAAAAATGCACAGTAGCTGGAAGCAGGAGTGGAGAGGGAGGCAGGAGTGAGGAGTTCTCTGTTTTCAAGAGCTGAACTAGGCACCATTACAAATACTACATAGTGTCAGACTTAGGATGTATCTTGAATATGTTTTTCAACATTTTTGTGGCGCAGAAATTAAAAATATTAAAGAATGCTTTTCTGCGTGTTGTATTAAAATGTGACACAGAAAAAGGCCTTGTGTTGTACCCTTGAGAAACATAAAAGGAGTCCGTCTCACTTTGATGTCTACCTCGCATGGAAACTAGTACTTTCCCCTTTCTGAGTCTATTAAGAGAAGGGTACTGTGTAAATTCACAAGTGCAATAGTCACTGTAATGCTCACAAAGTATTTCTTCACTCCCACACAGAGGGAGGCGTGCGACCAGTGTTTGCTGGTGGGCTGCGAGCAGAAGTTGTGGGTTTCTGGGTTAAGACATGTTGGTGCTAGGGGGATGTCTATTCTTTCAGCTGCGGATGGGCGCACATCCACACTGGCACATGTACGGCATGCCAGCTACCCTGACCTCGGGTGACTTTGTGGAGCACGGTCACACGTGTAGCACGCCAAGACACTTAGTCTCACACGGTCACTGCAGCAGAACACCACCTAGCCAGCTGGGCACATTAAACCAGGAGATGCCTGCACAGGCAGCGCGTGCTAATTTAGAGGTATGTGATGCAAGCTGTTCCAGGGGGAGACATTTATGGAGAAAGGGCAAGATAATACATTATTCTCCTAGAAGTATTGCAAAAACTTCTCACATGGTTAGTGGCCTAAGACAATAGACATTTTTCTTCTCATAGTTCTGGAGGCCACAAGTGAAAATTCAAGAAACATGGGAGAATGTCATCCGAAGCTCTTATTTAACACACTGCATTTGCAAAGGCTATTGCTAAAGACGGCCACATGCACAGTAGCAGTGTTAAGAACTGGATATACTTTTTTGAGGGGTGTACTTTAAACTACAAAGCACCCAGGAACCAAAGTCACAGTGAAAACAGTGTTCATTCAACCTGACATCTGAATGAGAGCCATTTATTAATGAGTTCCTGTATTTGATTTTGCCCAAGCCTTTTTTTGATTCTTTCTTGTTGGTCTGAAAGTTCTGACTCCAGTCTTACTTGTCATGTTTCTAAAGCCTCCAATGATGCTATTCCCAAAACTCACTCACTAATTACATGGTTTCCGTAGACAGGCAGATTTCTTTGATCTTGTACCTGATCCTCCCATCACCTTGCATGCAGTACATCTTCTATCATGTAGATTAGGAGGGAAAACTTTACAGTATCACAAAACCCATAGACTTCTTAGGAGACTCTTAATGACTGTCAGTGTTAAGCTCTGCCAGAGGAACTGAAAAATGTTTCCTTGCTTCATGTTTCCATACTCTCCACGGTTACCTGGGATTTT